TAGGATAAGTATGATTATTTATTCATTCAACTGTGGATAGATTTTTGGCTATTCAGACTTTTTTGCTAGAACTTCAATTTTATTTAATTTATTTCCATTTATTTTTATGTGACAAATAGTTATTGCTATTTGTGTGGTGTTTAGAACTAGTTGAGATCTACCCCCTTAATATCCTTAATAAACTTTTGTAAGCATTTAACGCGATCCATTGTAAGAATACACAGAATTTGTTATACTTACACAACTGTATACCCTCTCCAATCGTAAAGCACTGTCCTTTAGAATTTCTTATTGCTAATTTGAGATCTTCAACACTTAGTTAATTCTTTGTACAGATCTGCCTTTTCTGGAAATTTCACGTAAATGGGATCCTGCAACGAAGCTGTTTGTGCCTGCCTCTTCTGTCCATAGCATCTCTCTCTGTTGCCACTGTGCAGAAGAGCCACTGGCCCTGTGCGTATTCTTCACCGCTATGAATACACTACAGGTTGCTGGATAGATACTTGTTTACATTTCTCTCGGGTAGCTACCTAGGAGCTGAATTTTTGTGTGTTTAACATTTTAGGAAACTGCCAAATTCTTTCCCATAGTGGCAGCACAGTTGTCATTTCCACCAGTAGTAACGAGCGTTCTGATTTCATTCTCTGTCGCTTGTCCTTGTGCTTCCTTTGATTGTGTTCAATTTAGTGGGCGTAAAGTAGTCTCTCACTGTGGATCAGGTCTGCATTTCTTTAGTGGACAGTGATGTGAATGTTTTTATTGTGTGCCTATTTACCTGTTATACATATATATTTGCAATCTCTAAATGCTTAGCCTGCCTGTCATTTTCTTATTATATCAGTTGCTAGTTCTTTATATGTGCTTTATCTATGAGTCATTTATCAGGCATATGATTAATGGATATCCTCTTCTTATATATGGAAATCTTTTAATTGTTAAATTGATGATCACAGTTTTTCAATGAAGCTCAACTTGTCAATATTTTGTTTTGTATACCATATTTTTGGAGTGAGATCTTCCAAATTCATGTAATGCAAAGTCATAAGGGTCTTTCTTCCATTTTCTTTCCTTCTAGCTATTTTATACTTAAGTTCTTTCATTTGTGACTGCATCCTCTTTCAAGTTAATTTCTGCTTGTGGGCTAACACTTAGTTTATTTCACCAGTGATGTCTAAGGGTTGGTGCTGTCTGTTGAAATGGCCATCCTCCCTCAGCGCTGATGTGCCTTGGTAACTGCTGAAGTGTTTGGATGTTTTATTAGTTCAAGATAGAAATGATCTGCTTCTTTAATTTTTTTAGATTTATTTATTTTATTTTGTGCATTTGATTTGCCTGATGTATGTCTGTGCAACATGTGCCTGGTACCCTGGAACTGGAGTTTCTGGTGGTTCTTAGCTACTCCCATCGGTGCTAGGAATTGAACAAGGCCCTCCAATAGAGCAGTCAGTCCTTATGATCTGCTTAAGTGAGCACATGCATATGTTTTAAAATTCGAGAAGCACAAAATACAGAGTGGACATTAGACTTGTGCTTTCCTGGCATACGGTCCTCAGAAGCATGGGATAGGTATCAGATTCTGTGTCTTTCAAGAAGTGTTGTAGGTAAATAAACAACACATATCCTCCCCCCACACTGCATGCGTATGAATAATATTTTTGTGGGAGCTTTAGATGGTACTTTACTTTTTAATTATTATGCACTGAGGAGGAAAAAGACCTAATTAAATTAACAAAAAATAATTAAAATCTAATTAGCTTTAATTAAGTTTAATTTCTGTCTCCAAAAAGAAATGAAATACTAAGGGTTAAGACTTAATTATATTCATTTAAATTTAAATTATCTTTGTAGAGAGAAATTAAATGCTAACTAATAAAAATTTCCAGATAGTTGAGGGTTGGGTGTAGGGCAGAAAATCAACTGTTTTAATATGTGAGATTATTTTTATTCTTGCAAGAACTAATTTTCACATCCTTTCATAGGGTCAACATCATTCCCAGTGAAATTATGTATATGTGGAGAACATTTAATTTCCCTTATTAGTGCTATGAAGCATTATATGTACCTTTTGAAAGAGTTAATATATGTGTGTGAGTTTCTGCACAAGTGTGTGGGGTTACCTCTGGGGTTCAGCAGAGGGCTTTGGTGCCCCTAAAGCTGCAGTCACAGGCTGACGAGAGCCAGCTGCCTGACATGAGTTCTGGGGAACTGAACTCTAGCCCTCTGGAAGAGCAAAAAGTACACGGAACAGCTGAACCACCTCCCCAAGCCCCAGAATTTACTTTTAAAATCGTTTGTTACCGCATTATACATGTTTTAATTTGGAGGTAACGGGTCTGTTATTTTCTAGTAGGTTTTAAATCCTCTATTTGTTACTGATAGCTGTGTTAGATTAGTTTGTTTATCTCCAAGATAATGTTAACATTATAGAAATTTCTGCTTGTTATCTCTTCCTGGTGGTAGATGGATCATTTAAAATTCAAGTATGGGACTGTGCTTGATTTGTACTGTTTTGCCTTGAATTCTATTTCCTCTGATGTCAATAGTGCTTTCTTTGCCTTTACACTTTGGTAGCACATGTACAAACTGTTTTTTCTCCTACCCGTATTTTCAACCTTCCTGGGTTACTTTATCTTGCATCTAACTTTGAAGAATCCAACTAGCTGGTATGTTTGGATCATAATAACATGCCTAACTTTGTATAATTAATATATGCTGATAAAATTAAAACTGCTAGTGTGGTGACACTCCTCTTCAATCCCAGAACTTGGGAGGCAGAGTCAGGTGTATGTCAGTGAGTTTGAGGGCAGCCTGGTCTGCATGGGGAGTTCCAAGTCACTCAGGGCTACAAAATGAGACCTTGTCTCAAAATAAATAAATGAGATAACCAAGTAGTGACTTGGAAAGTCCATTGGTAAGTTTTAGAAATCGAGCTGGCTTATGTGCGTTTTACAATGTGTCCAGTGGTTGCTTAAAATCAGTGTAACGGAACAGTTGTCATTTCCTATGATTTTATTCAGGCCACCAAACTTCTCTAAACCTGAGCCTGTTTATCCTTTAAAGAAAGAATTGTTTTGCTCTTCCATCCCGTTTCAATATTAATTTATTTAGAAACAACATGTAAAGTATTTTGAATAGTACTTGGCAGTGTTGAATGTACTTAACTGTAGAGCGTGTTTAGAATCATGCAAAGGAGGGGTTGTAACCTGTGGGCGATGGATTATTGCTGCCATGGTTTAAATAAGGAACTGACTTAAGATTTGTTTTAGGCACGGTCATGCTAGTAGCACGGAAGATGGATCAGTGGACTGAAACAGAGATGGAGGACCCACTTAAGCAGCTGTGCTATTTCAGGAAGGGTTGAGGACTCAAACTGAGCCATCAGACTTTTTGGGTAAGAAGAGAGAGATGCAAAATTTAGGTTGTAGACTTGACTGGCCTCTCTGCTGGAGAAATAAAAATATTTCTAGATGTTCAGGAACCATTTGAATTGCATCTGCTTGAAGATAAGTAGAAATAAATGGGATTTCCTTGGGCCAAAAGAAATACTTCCCTTAGAAAGAGAACAGACATGGAAGTAATAGACAAACGTAGAGAATTTTCTGGATGGAAAATTGCAATAATGAACAAAAAAGGGCATGTTTTCAGGAATAAGATTTTGGCATGTCAAAATGGATTTTTTTAAAAAAAATATGGGATTTAAACAGTATGAAGTTACTGTGAAGACAGGTTGATCATTAGAACACGGTTTCTTGTATATATGATAAGTTAGTATGCGACAAAAGCAGCAATTTGTGTCCCCTGGGGAAAGAAAGGACAATTTAGTAAGTGGGCTTGAGATTTACCACTTAAAGGAGAATAGTTTCTTCCTTGCTGGTTATAAAGGGTTTGACCTTTTAGACCTGAAAAACAAAGAGAAAAGTGATCTTTTCACATGGTAGGCAAGCTGTCACCACTACACTACATACTCACCTCAGGAAGGTCTTTATTAGGGCAAATGAACCTTCTATTTAAGAAATTGACACTCTCAGAAGCTAAAACTTTTCATTGAGTAAAACAAGATTCATCAACAAATTGAAAGATAAATGGCAGCCAATTGGGGAAACTATTGGCAATGTTTATCAAACAGAAGTTGTGTGCACTCATATTCAGAAACAAATCAAGGAGAAATGGAGACCCATATAAACAGGAAACAGAGTTGTAGGATAGAAAAGATGGTTCTCTGAACAGGAAACACTAATGACTGGTAAATTAAAAACACACTTAACCTCAAGAGATGAAAATACAATGAATGCTAGAGCAGAAGTGTATTTTACCAATCAGAGTGACAAAAAAGCAATCCAAAGGAGCAAATGGTGGCATGTTGAGGGGTGGAAGGTCTCCTCTATTGGAAATAAAGGTGGAATAAGACTTCCAGGGTACTTGGTTGCATGTTTGAAATCTAAAGTTCCTTCATTTTTCTTCGCATTCTCTCCCGTGAGAGGACATAGTGACTAAGGCTGTGCACTTAGCATTTCTTCTAAACAGCAAACTTTGGGAAACAAATATCTAAATATCTCTTCAGTGACTTTGTAAGTTTAATTAGGTGACCACCTGTTAAGTGATGGCGCTGATGATGTGGTCAGTGGTTGGAACTTGACACTCATTTTAATCTGAGATTTGGACTGCCACAGCACATTTTCCACTTGTTCTCTGAGCTACAATACTGAAAACTAAAAGCCTTGTAAATAGTCATAAACCATGAAGGAGTTCTAATGGACCTCTACAAGAAAACTACATCCTGAGATATGTTTTGTTACTGAATAATTGTTGTGTATTTCCAGCCCTTCTCCAACACACAAATAACTTCTACATGGGTCTTGTGTGGCAGCTCTTTTATTTTAAGTTAGAAACTCTTCCAAGGTCTGGCACACATCCCTGTCCTTGCTATTCTTGCTCATGTCCACTTACAATTAAGCCCAGGGTAAGCGTCAAGTTACTGTCTCTAATGATCCTGATGTTCTGCGAGGCAATACCAGACATCAGCTTGCAATTCCTAAGATTCCCTCTGCCCCAAGGGTTCCTCTGTTTTTCTCCATCCAGTGAGTAAAAGTGGAGGGATTACAACAATTTCAGACAACTGTACGTGTTCTGAGGTGGAAAAGGAAAGTTAGCTTGTCTTTCACTAAAGGAAACAACTCGCTTCTCAAATGCCCTGTTGGCACAGACATGTTGCTTAGATTCATTTGTGTTCTTGAAGGTAGCATTAGTTTGTGTTTTGGTTGGTGAGTAGCATTCCATTGTGAGGGTATATGATATCTTGTCATCTCTTCTGTTTGTTGTTTGTTTTGTTTTAGCTATAGATAGTCTTACTGTGTTGCCCAGGATAGACATGAATTTAAAACTTGTGGACTTAAGTGATCTTAACCTTCCCAGTAATTGGGACTATACGCATGTATACCATGGTCAGCTTGTTCATGTATCCCTTTGCTGATGAATATTTTTATAACCTCTCTGTGAACATATCTTTCATTTCTGTTGCTTAAATATCTAGAAGTGGAATTTCCAGATAAAAAGTTAGGGGTGTATTTGTCCTTTTTTTCATTTTTTAATTTAAATTAGAAATGAGCTTGCTTCACCTGTCAACCCCAGCTCCCTCTCCCTCCCTTCCTCCCCTGCCCCCTGAGCAAGCCCCCCAGCCCCCCTCCCAATCCCCACTCTGATCCCCAGGGAGGGTGAGGCCCTCTAAGGGTGTGTTTTAAGAAATAAGCAAACATTCTTTTTTTGTTTTGTTTTTAAATAAAGTTTTCCGCTCTCCTAGCAAGCAGTGTCAGTAGGGTATAAAAGCTCAGAAATCAGTTCAGCATCTGCCAGGGTTAGTCCTTGCAAATTAGTCATTCCTGCAGGTTTGTGATATAGTCTCCTAAGGATTTTGTTTCCTTGAACCAATGATGCTGAATGCCTTTTAATACAGTTATTAGACCTTACAATATCTTCTTCAAGAATTGTCTCTTTTGCCCAGTTTTATTGAATGGTCTGCAAGTCATTTGTTGAATACATGTAAAGCACATATTTTTCTCCCAGCCTGTGGCCTGCCATTTTTGTTTTCCCAAGATGGCCTGAATGACCCATGAAGTGGGCTTTTGAACGCATTGGGAAAGTGCTCCACGCCTTAGCTCCATCCCAGTGATAACTTTAATTAGTCATATTTTATCTTTTCTGTTTTTGTGTGGTGTGGTACTTTTGAAGCTTTTGCCTGTTATCACAGAGATGTGCATCTGTGTTTTTCTGGGAGGTTTGCCTTTTTAAGATTTGTGCTAAATCTATTATCTGTCTTGAAACAGTTAACTATATTTATTTTCCCATATACATATATAATTGATTCAGCATTGTTTTTCACCAAGACTTTTCCTTCTAGAGTGAATTGAATTGACAACTTAGTAAAATGTCATTTCACTATATTGATATGAGATGTATTTCTAGGCTTTCTATTGTGTTGCATCTTAATTTTAGTGTTTATTTCTGCCAGTATGTGCCATGATGTGGAATGACACATAATCATGTCGTTATTGAAAAATGTTCATCTTTATTTCTTATTGTAGATAATGTTTAAAAGCTATTCTGTCATCTATACACAGAGCTATTTTTCATTTATCTTGTCATTGTTTATAATATGTGTATTTCCCCATTCTTTCATGTTCAACTTATTTGTATTTTGGCTACTACAAATGACCTTTATTTGGATTATGTTTTATAAATCCAGCCACACAATCTCAACCTTTTAATTGATTGTTTGATCCATTCACATTTAATGTGTTATTTAAATGTAATTTTCTTGAGAGCTTCATGACATTTGCTCCATTTTTTTCCTTTGCTTTCTCTTGTACTATTTTCTTATATAATTTTTGTGGATATTGTGGATTAAATGGGGGATCCTGTGCATGGAGGGAAGTACTCTGTCACTCTGTCACTAATATATTATATTAGTTTATAATATAATATTTAACTTATTTAATGACTTTTTATTCTTTGATTTATATGTTAATGATTGCTTTATGGTTTATCATATGTGCCTTAACTTATTGGCATTAGATTTTTATTGGTTCAATTCTTATAATAATATTTAAGAGTCTAACTTATACTGCTTTATTCCTTTCTCCCTATTTTGTCATTTTATTGTTATATGTGATATATCTCTTAATGTTAGAAACTAAAAAACGCATTAGTGGAATTATTATTTTACTATCTGCCTAAAACAGCTTTGTTTCATAAGCCTCTTTTGTGCTATATTGCCAAGTGCATTCTATTTATTTACGTTGCAGTGTTTATTATATGCATTTATGATTGCAAGCCTAATAATACATTATATAGATATTCTATTAGTTTTTTTTAATTAGGTAAGAAAGAGGAAGTAAGCATCAACATAGTCTTTTGGCATGTATATAAGAGGGAATGTTGGGGTGAGATATTCACGTTTGTGGAGGCGCCAAGAAAATGGCCGATGTCCTGCTTTGTCAATCTCTGCCGTATTCTTTAGAAACTAAATATCTCACTGAATCTGGAGCTAGGTTGGAGGCCAGGAAGTCCCAGTGATCTTCCAGTCTCTGACCAGGGACACACAACCATGCTTTATACATGGGTTCTGGGGATTTGAACTTGGCTCCCCATGCTTACACAGCAAGTGGTCTTTCCCTCTGAGCCATCCCCCTTAGTCCTTATACAGTCTTTATTTTGCAGTGTGAGCTACCTTTCCTCCATTCAGTGTGAGATTTTCCTAGTGTGGTGGGTGACTCCTGCTGGAACTGGAGGTTTTCCTATGTTCTTGAGCTCTGGATCTTACTTAAATCTTAAGCTAAATCTTTGCAACATTGCTGTAGTGAGGGAAGGAGGGTGGTGCCAAGGGTTGTACACGTCCTCATTCCCTTCTGTGAACATTGAGGGGGGCAGTCACTTCCTTTTGGACATGGGTAGTTTTCTTACTGCTGGGAAGAGACTACAGTAGTCATACTCTTCCTCTAGGTGTCTTCTAAAGGAGGGTTAGAAGCCTCTTGCTCTTAGGAAGTGGGTAAGAAGGGTTACAGTGTTATTGCTACTAATATCAAGCGCCATGTTATTAACCAGCTGAGATGAATCCCATCTTCCAGGCTGGCCTCCTTTGATAGCACTCCATTGGTTTAGATGCACTTTATTCCAGGCTCATAAAAGTGAAATACAGGCTTTGCATTGAACTTTTGCTGGGAATGGGTAAGGGCCGTGCTTTGGTTTCATTTGGTTTGCATAGAACATTATTGACTCAAAAGGTTTTTGTTTTGTTTTGTTTTGGCTTTGCTTGGGTACCCATTTCTTTGGCCTCTACCCAGAGAATATGGTTTCTATTGGGGCTTTATTCCCCCACCCCTTTTCTTCATTTATCCCCCTGCTTTTTTAGTACTCAATTGTTGTTTGCTCCTTTAACACCCAGTCTAGGCATGCGATGAAACCAGAAAGCCACAGACATCACCACTGTGCCAATCCTGGAGCCTAAGGACCTTCATCTTCCATCTTGACTCCATCTTCCAGAGTGTCCTATGTTAGTGTGAAGTGGAATATCTGGGAGTGTTAGTTGTCCTTACTGGGAAAAACAGGTAAAGAAGCAAACTATTCCATCTCCTCAGACAAGAAGGGCTTCCTTACTAAGTGTATGAGACAGAGTTAAAAGATCCTCTGCGTTTAGGTTCATTTTTAGGTGATGCATGTATAATATAGTACTGCATGTGGTGCAGAGAAAATTCTTACTAAACTTTCTCATTCATTCTACAAATGTTTCTTAAACATATGTTATGTGCCAGGCAATGCCTGACGTACCACATATTCAACAGTAAGCTAAATGCATTGTCTGTTGTGGTAGAGCTTCTATTTTAGCAGGAGACAAATCAGCAATTAATCTTGCAGCAGGACAGAAAAAAAATCAAATCAATGAGATAAACATGAAAGTCAAAGTAAGACACCAGATTCTCCTGGGGTTGCAGGCCATTGTGAGCTGCCCAACAGGAGTGTGGGAAACTGAACTCAGATCTTCTGCAAGAGCAATGTAGGCTCTTAGCATCTCTCCAGCCCCAGGACCTTCTTAGTTGGATAGGCAGCCACTCCAGATGAAGTGTTCATTGTAATGAGAACAACTGTATGTACTGAAACTTCATACAGCCTGCTCTTTGCACGCACCCTGTCTTGGTTCAGGAAGGTGTGGATATTTCACAATGCCTCAGAGCAATGAACGAAAAGGTAGAGTATCATGTGAGCAGTCAGAGATGATAGGGTGTGGCTTTATTCTAGTAGATACAGAATGGAGGCTGAAACCCACCTAATCTGTGAGGAAGATGAGGAAGAATGTTAACCAGAATAACTGTAATCTCTATGCTTCCTGCTTTAATGTGGAGGCAGAAAAATTGAGCTACATATAACAGAACCTACTCTTAACTCTACTTAAGTAATCATTTACATAGTCAGAAGACAGAATAATATGGCGGTTGCCTAGGCTTTGGGGTCAATAGGTTAACTCTACAGAGCTTAATTAAAATTTGGTAATAAATGCCTACTCTGTACAGGGTATTTCATTAGTCTTCATCATGACTGAGGTGAGATATTCTTCATAATTATTTTCTAGGCTTTTGAAATTCTCTTCTGCTGAAGCAAGCTCCTCATTACTAATTAGGTTTCCCAGGCAAGGGAAGACAATTTCTCAGAGTGGCCTCCTCATTAGAAAGGGATGTCTGCCACGGGAAAAAAGAGAGAAACTGGCCCTTTACTGCCTTATTTTTTCAATATACACTCAATAAAATCAAATTTTAAAGATTCAAGAAAGTATTAAAGGAAAAATCACTCAAACAATGTCTATGATAAAATGATCTCTCTTTTTTGACATTATGAAATGAAGTCTCTTTCTCTTTCCTACTTAGGGTAAGCTATTAAGGAAAGTCAAGTTCTGTAGAAAGGTCAACTTGAGACTTCATCTAACCACTCTATCCATTTGTCCCAGAAAGGGAAATGATTTCATGGAAAAGTGTTTCTCCTGAAATGAAATCAAATGGATAACCACAGAGTAACCTGATGTTTGAACATCATGAAACTGACTTGTTTCCTGCTTCCCCAATTCATCTATGTCAGCATGAGAACCCTGCATTCCCTCTGCTTTCTTGCTCATTCTACCACCATTGCCTAGTATCAGGACAATGCCTTCCAAACTGCCTCCACAGGCTCTGGTCTTTCTAGTCTACTCATTCCTCCTACTGCATCCTTACCAGAGTTGGCCAACTGTCTTCCTTGTGAAATCAGAGTAGATGGATGCATGCCCTAATTCTTCAGTACTATTATGAGGGACCATACCCCTCACTGCCAGGCCCTCCCCTCCTATGTGTGGTCTCATCTGATGCCCTTTGCTCATGAAGTCTATGCTAAAATGACTGTGGAACCTCATACTTGTTTTCTCTTACAGTGACTATCTCTGTTTCTCTATTACCTAATAACTGACTGCTCACCTCTGAGGAAAGAGCTCACAGTCTCCTTTGAGAGGTCTCTCTGGACTCCTAGGAAACACCTTATATCCTTGCCATACATTTTCTTTCGTCTTCTGTCTAAGTATGTTTCCCTTCTACATCTGTCTGAAGTAGTTGTCTCCTACCCTCTCAACTGAGTTTCTCAAGGACAGGGATAACTCATTTCCTTGGTGATCACTTGTGTACCAGACATTCACTCCATTTACTCAATGCTCAGTAAAGTCAGTTGAGTGGTTTTCATGTCTCTGCACAAAGTTGATACTCAACAAATGTTTAAGAAATAAATTGGTCCCCAAAGAATCATGGAGTTTATAATTGAAAGACAAATGAAATCCTAGATTGCAAAATTATCTGCAGATTTTATTTCGTTGATATACAGGATAGTGCCAAAGAACGTCACATTTTGTGATGTTTTTCTGCCACCTTTCAACAGAAGATGCATTATTCTTCACTTATAACTTTGGTGTGAACTTCCCGGCTCTTGACCCGCAGCTTGTTGACCTGGGACTCGGCAATGTCAGCCCGCTCCTCGGCCTCCTCCAGCTCATGCTGGATCTTGCGGAACTTGGCCAGGTTGACATTGGACTGTTCCTCCTGTGAATGGGAATGCATTGAAGAGAACAAGATTTGACATTTTCTGCTTGCTAATTGCCTTTGTTGCTAAAAGAAGCTACCAGATTTGCTCCATGAATGAGAAAGTAAAAGGTCCTGTCATTTGGTGGCATTCTTATTTGGGGGTTAGAACATCCATGGATTTGACTACATGAATGAGTATGCTCATAAACCCCCTCTTTAGTCCCTTTCACTTGGCTCTTTTCCTAAAAAACTAAGGATGCTATAGTGACTACACAGAGGCCAAAGAAGCAGGGATCTGATTGATTCGTCCTTCTGCAAAACAAGCTTTAAAGAGGAGACTCAATAGAGATATTGTGTACAGAGAGAGCCCCAAGGAAGAGTGAAGAACTTACAGAATGAGAAAGATTAGATTTTTTTTAAAAGTTCAGAACCAGATTTAATCATATGTTAAGTAAGGCTTAGACTAATTCAGGTTCTTATTTGCATAGTCCCTATGAATGCTGGGAATTTGGAATGTTCTAGATAGTAAGCATAGTGCAGTGGAGAAGCATTTCTGGGTCAACTCATTTGAAACGTTACTTGATGCAATCTCAGAGAAATGAACTAGAATGTCTAAAGCTCTAATAATTTCTGGCAAACTTTTGGTTTTCCAAATAAATATTCTTTTTTCCACCTAATTTGGGGCTCTTGGCTTGTTCATTGCCTCAGAAAAAAGCCCCTTGAATGTGAGGGACTTCAGTGCTTCTCAGAACCAGGTGCAGTCCTGGAGCATTCTGTTACTGTGGAGATACTCACAGCCTCCTCAGCTTGTCTCTTGTAGGCTTTCACTTTCGTCTGCAGTTTGTCCACAAGGTCCTGCAGCCTGAGCACGTTCTTGCGGTCCTCCTCAGTCTGAAAGATTCAGCAAACAGAGGGTGTCATTAGCTGACACTGCCCTATTGTCGTTATTTTCTCAGTGTAGGCCTGGCAGAGAAGGGAGGACCAGAATCACCTGGTAAGTGAGTTCCTTCACTCTTCTCTCATGTTTGCGAAGACCCTTGACAGCTTCAATGTTGCGCTTCTGTTCATTGTCAACCTCATTTTCAAGCTCCCTCACCTGGAAGAGAAAAGCAAGGTTAACTGTTTGCCTGTGATTCTTCACACACACAGGCTGGGAGCTGGAAGAACTCGCAGACACCCACCCTGGCCTCCAGTTTCTGGATCTGCTTCTTGCCGCCCTTCAGCGCCAGCTGCTCAGCCTCATCTAGACGGTGCTGCAGGTCCTTCACCGTCTGCTCCATGTTCTTCTTCATCCGCTCCAGGTGGGCACTGGTGTCCTGCTCCTTCTTCAGCTCCTCCGCCATCATGGCGGCCTGGTGAGTGATAAAAACAGAGTTGGTTAATGACTGACTGACAAGGCCCAGCGGGATTCAGATTTGCCACCTCCATCTTGCCCTCGGCTCACATCAGTGATGGCTTTCTTGGCCTTCTCTTCTGCATTGCGGGCTTCCTGGACGATGTCCTCCATCTCTCCCTGGATTTGGGAGATGTCTGTCTCCAGCTTCTTCTTGGTATTGATGAGGCTGGTGTTCTGTGTTGCAAATTTTAAAAAAAGTAAGAAAACTACATTTAATTACAAAGTCCTAAATTGTTGATAATTAGAAATGTTTAGAATAAGGTTAACAGTATTTGAAACAGTTAATCAATTCTAGATACTTATAATTAGTAAAAGTGTTACATATTAATTAATTTGACTAAAAAATTTACAGTGTTGCTTTAAACATTTCCATAATTGCTGATTTTAGGTATTACAATGTTCAAAATATTCTGCTATATAGGTTTATTATTTTAAAAAGTAGAGGGCAAGAAAATTAGCATAAGGCACAAATAGTACATGGTCAATAACCAGAGACTACCATTAGTAACACTTTTGCTTATTCTTGTGTATATTTGCTTTTTTACAAAAAAAGCTAGGTGATCCCTCACCTTAATTTGCTTTATTCATTCACAGTTTTGTGACTGTCTCTCTGAGACAATGAAGATTTCATGAGATCATTGAAGGATATCCCACCATTTACCTAACAAATGTACTGTAGGACGCAAGTGCTAACTAGCACGAATGATGGCTCCATGGATTTGAACACAATAGCTCTTTACATATCATACACACACACACACACACACACACACACACACACACACACACGCACGCACGCACACATATATATCTGTGAGGCTAATATTAGGTACACACATGATAATAAATATCATGATGACTTATTATTTATTGTCTGTGTAGAGTATGAAAGACAAGATGGCTGCCAGTGTTGGATGCGTATCTCCTCATGGGTGGTATTTTGTACTTCTTTATGTAAATTTTAAACTTCAGATCCTTTCAAGTCCACAACTACACCGTCCTTTAAGTGAACTTGTGAACTGTCTATGTATCAGTCCATACTTACAACAGATCGTTCTGTGCATTTCCCAAAACCCTAGGAAGGTGTCCCTGCCAAGATTATTTGTATAGCTTGTGAACATCCCGGCAGACTGCCTTTAGCTTCAAGGAGTACATTTGATATGACTGTTCTTGGACCTCACCTGAGTGTGCAGGAGCTGCACACGCTCACTGGCATCCAGAAGCTCTTGCTCCGCCACTCTTCTGCTCCTCTCTGTCTGTTCCAGGGATGCTCGCAGCTCCTCGATCTCAGCCTGCATCAGATTTGCTCTGCGCTCAACCATGGCCAGCTGCTCCTTAAGGTCATCCTGGCCCCGGAGAGCATCATCCAGGTGCAGCTGGGTGTCCTGTGCGGAAATAAGAGAGACTCTTACTTGTGTTCCAGTTAAAGTGGATTGAGATTTAACATCAGGCTCACACCTGGATCTCACCAACTCAGTCTGATTGAGTAGGAACATCTACAAGTACCGTTAATGACTTAGTCCTGGAATCCTAGTGCAATACTTCAATCCAAAAGTACATAAAATTCTATTTCAGATTCCAAACCATAAAAACAATCATGCATAAGTCTATGAAATTTTCTGTCAGGAAAGTAGCCTTAAAACTCAGCTAACCCGATGACGTTAATTTACATATTTAAGAAGGGAAGTCCAGCAGCCGGATCCAGTGAGTTATGTCTATAGTCCTCCAAATTGGAAGGCTGAATGCTTCATCACTCTGTCTCCACATATTTACTTCTCATTTTGTCTCAGATGACAAGGCAAATTATCTGTTGGACCTTTCAGACAGAACTTAGCTCCTTTCCAAAGTACAATTTTTTTTTATCTTGCTACCACATTGCTTTGATGATTTATGGCCTGTAATTTTCCAAAAATTTTAAGACTTGAGATCTACAGTAACACCTAGCCTGCAGACACAGTGTGGGTTCACCCCAAGGTACCTTCAGCATTCCTTGTGTGTTCCGGAGGTTCCTGATGGCCTCTGCAGCCTGGCGGTTGGCGTGGTTCAATTGGATTTCCATCTCGTTCAGATCTCCCTCCATCTTCTTCTTAATCCTCAGGGCATCATTTCTGCTCCTGATCTCCGCATCCAGCGTGCTCTGCATGGACTCCACAATTCTGAGGTGGTTTCTCTTTAGCTGATCTATTTCCTCATCTTTTTCAGCAATTTTACGGTCAATCTCAGATTTCACCTGATTCAACTCAAGTTGGATGCGTAGAATTTTGCCCTCTTCATGTTCAAGAGATGCCTTAATAGAAGAGACATTTTGGTGACCTCACTATGATGATTTCTCAAGGAGGCATGTAGTCTTCCTCCCAAACGTTCACACGTCTCAGCTTAGGTCACTGATTCTACATTTGCAAGGTGTATATGTCAGGTTTTTCTTTGACGGTGTGCATCACCCCCTAAAGCTTACCAAATGGTAGACCCTGTTGCCCTTCTCCTTTCAGTCTGTTTATAACGGATAGCTGAGCAAACAAAAACATACCTCTGCTTCCTCTAAAGAAGACTGTAATTCACTCTTTTCCTGATCAATTTGCTTTTTTATTTTCTCCAGCTCATGAATGTGCTTCCCTCCCTCTGCGATCTGCTCGGTCAGGTCAGAAATCTCCTCTGTGAAAGAACCGATAAGAGGAGGTAGTTGGAATGATGGAAATATGGGATGGTCTAGCCAGGGCTAAGTAGGATCGGGAAGTTTGTCAACATGGGAGGGTCTATCCAGGGTTAAGTGGATTGGAAAGGCAGGCCACATGTGAGGGTCTAGCCAGGGCTAAGGAGGATCAGGAAGGTTGAGACTCACGCTGCAGATTCTTGTTTTCTCTCTTCAGAGTCTCGAGTTGGTCCAGAGACTCTTCGTAGGCATTCTTCACCTTGAACAGCTCCGTGCTGAGAGAACGGGACTCCTTCTGGGAGGCTTCTAGCTCAGCTTGAGTCTCCTCATACTTCTGTTTCCATTCTGCTAGGACCTAAAAGCACATCATTAGTTAAACTCTGAACCCAGGCATAATGCCCCTTTCCCCCAGAAGGGACACTTTACTGATCCCGTGGATCACCTTGTCAAAGTTCCTTTGCTTCTTATCGAGTGCAGCGCAAGCAGCATTAGACCTCTCCACGTCAATCATGAGGTCCTCCACTTCATTCTGGAGCCGCTGCTTCGTCTTTTCAAGAGAAGCACATTTGGAATTCACAGCTTCTACGTGTTCCTCTGCATCCTGCAGACGCTGAGCCAGCTTCTTCCTGGGGAGGTGGTCGGTGTGAGTGATCAAGAGAAGAGTCGGTTACCACAATGAACTCTGCCTAGCTGATGATTAGGAAAGTGTATTTCTCCCACGATCTTTTATTTCTGTGTGTCAACAGCTTTTCCTAGAATTACTCTTAGAGCCCATTTTATCTCTTTGAGAATTCTGATTTCCCAGGTGAGTTCTTCTCCATTTCAAGTGTTATCAAACATTACAAAACCAGAGAGAAGGAGGAAGCGGGAGGGCTCTGAAGCTGAATTAACTCTGACAACTCAGTAGAAGATATATTTCCTCAATAATGTTACAGTTGAATGTGATCCTAGACATTATGCAGATGGTC